TAACATCCCATAAAAAGATTTCTTTATAACTACTCGATGCTAATGTAGTACTATCAGGAGAGAAACAGACTGATGGAATTCTCTTCCAATGGCCAATTAATATGCCTATAGATTCTCCTGTTTCAAAGTTCCATAAACTGATAGATTCATCCCTACTGCTAGATGCTAATTTCTTACCATCAGGAGAGAAACAGACTTAATAAACTTCTTTAGTATGACCATCTAATTTGGCTTTTTACTATCCTGTCTTAACATCCCATAAACAAATAAAATGATCTCCACCACAAGATGCTAATGTAGTACCATCAGGAGAGAAACAGACTGATAGAATTCCACTTGAATGGCCTCCTTATTTGGCTTTATATTCTCCTGTCCTTACATCCCGTAAACGGATAGAGTTACGATTTCTAAAGTCAGAGCCACCACAAGATGCTAATATAGTACCATCAGGAGAGAAAGAGACTGACAAGACTAAATTCATGAGTTGATCAGAAAATTTGGCTTTTTTTTTCCTGTCTAGATATCCCATAAACGAATAGAATCACCATAACTACCAGATGCTAGTGTACTACCATCTGGAGAGAAACAGATAGATTTAACCTGAAATGAATGACCATCTAATTTTGCTTTTTCTTATCCTGTCTTAACATCCCATAAGCGGATAGACTAATCGTTACTACCAGATGCTAATATAGTTCCATCAGGAGAGAAACAGACTGAATAAACTTGACTTGAATGACCATCTAATTTGGCTTTTTATTATCCTGTCTTAACATCCCATAAATAGATAGAGTTATCATCATTACCAGATGCTAATGTAGTACCATTAGGAGAAAAACAAACTTAACAAGTATTTGAATGACCATCTAATTTGGCTTTTTATTATCCTGTCTTAACATCCCATAAACAGATAGAATTATTACCATTATCAAATGCTAATATAGTACTATCAGGAGAGAAACAAACTTAAAATTTTGTACTTGAATGACCATTTAACTTCCATATATATTTTTCAGTTTTAAGATTCCATAAATACACATATTTGCCACACCTCGAAGCTAATATAGTACCATTAAATGAAAAACATACAGAACTTACCTCACTTTCTCCTTTTAGTACAGTCCTTATTTTTCCTGTTTTTACATCCCATAACCTAATTGTGGTATCATCACTACAAGAAGCTAGTGACTTACCATCTGAAGAAAAGCAAACTTAATTGATTTCACCCTCATGACCATTTAACTCAATTCCCTCATGTAAACCTAAGTTCCTCCACTTGCAATTAAATAATTTGGCTCCGTTCAAATTCATTCCACTTATAATGACATTATCAAATTCAGATAGACTTAAGTCACATCTCACTAAGTTTGCTCCATAGAGTGAAGTATTTCTAATTCTAATATTTATAAACGATTATCCCCTCAAGTCAACCTTCATTTCAACTAGTAAATGAAGAGAATTCGATCCACTTTAGATAAATCTGTCATCTAAACTTGTAAGTTTAATTAGAAATCTAAAAAAATTGATAATATTCTCCTAATTTGATACTTTCTTAATAAGTATATCTATATTTTCTTTGGAAACATTTGCTGAATAATTAATTTTATTAAAGTTATGCTAGACTATTTATTGAAGTATATTTGTAATATTCTTAATGTCATTTCTCACAGCATTTAGTTTCCATTGCTTATCAAAAAGTTCTAAATTACCTTACAAAAAAATGTATTCGCTATAGCTATGTTGATATTAATAGTTTGAAAGAAATTTTTGAGAATCAGAAACTCTCTCCTTTTAGAGCATTTTCATTATTATGTTGAATATATTATCATCTATATCAACTAATTATTATAATACTTCAAAAATATTACTATTTTCATTTTGAGTCATTTTCCTTTTTTTTATTAATACTATTTAATCTCTATTACTTTATTTTGAGTTTTATACGAAAAATCAAATCTGCAATCTTGCAAATTTGGATTAGGAAGAAAATCACTTTAATTAAGGGAAGGTGATAATGTCAACTGACATAGGCTTGTGCATAGGTTGATGCTTAAATATAGAATAAAATGCAAATCAATTAAAAACAAATTTGTATCATAGTTTCTAAGATTTCTAAATTAAAACAGCAAGAGAACCAATGCATAAAATTATTCAACTTCCATAAATTGAGATTATTACATTCAGAAATTTTACAAGTATATTTTAATCCAAAAGATTTATGTGAGCTTTGTTTTCCCTCTCTTAATGTAGCCTTCTTAACTTGTGTACTCGAAGACTAAAATTCCATACAGCGAATTAAGAAGCTTTTCTGTGGATACCTCAAATTCTAGCCTAGACCTTCGTTGAGGCCCGATTGTTTTGCTTGAATTCTTCTGGGGTGATAATACCACCTAAATCAGAAATTAGATTCGTTTCCTTAGGCATAATTAGGGTTGACAGTGAAGTAACTATGAATGCTTGTCTATCAATGTATTAAACCTTTTTTTCATCCTATTGGGGATAAAAATTAAAATCACTTAACTTACCTCTTTAATTACATTACTTTACATATGTAAACCATCAATATATTAGGACATTTCTTTCTTTGTTCAAACAATGTGATGCTTCCTTAGTAGTTACGTCCTGTATATAATAGAAATTCCAAAGATATATTACAATGCTGACTAGCCTTATAATAATTTAGAGGACTATATACAAATTCTAGCCTGTAATTAACTTTTCTTTACACTTTTTGGTAATTGATACTAAAATCCTATCGGGAACTCTGACAGATTGGAATTATCATAACTTACTTCATGTACCTGCTTTCAAATAAATGTAAAAGTTAGGGTAAAACATTTGTTTTAACATCACTGACGGGTTCGTGCATTCAACACTATTCGCACTC